AAGAAATTAAGGGCACATTTACACGTCCTCCAGGGGTGCGGTGGTGGTGCTTTAATTAGAGTGACTCTGAGAGCTGCTCTAATTAAAGCACCACAGCATCTCATGTATCAACATCCCTGCACTTCAAAATGGTGGTGGGGGTACTTGAATTAAAGTTTGTTAGAGAGCTTTAGTTTGAGTGTCCCCACACGTAGGCAGGGACACTGATGCATGACAGTGGGAGGCTGCTAGAGTGCGGTAATTACTACACCCCAGAAGACTCAATTAATTGAGTCTGTAATTACAGCATGTCAGAGCACCCTCCACACTCATGTACAGGCACCCTAAAAGTCCTGCTTTGCCTCCCTGAACTGTTGAACAAATAGATACATTTCCACTGCAGATCCCCGATCATATTTTCATTCTCAGCATACCTCTTGTGGTGTCTCAAACTGGTTTGAGATGCCACAGGCATGCACGCACTCATCTGGATGTGCCCCAGAAGGTCATCTAGTCCAACTACCTGCTCAAAGCAGGACCACCCCCAAACAGATAATTCTAGCAGGGGCTTTGCCAAGCCAAGCCTTACAACCCTCCAAAGATGGAGATTCCATAACCTCTCTAGGTAACCCATTCCAGTGTTTCAACCCGGTGGGTAATGCACAGTCATTTAGTACTTGCTAAAGAAAGTACTAAATGACTATGCAGTACCAACTGTGCCATGGAGCACATGTGTAGACCTGCCCAGTGTAGTGCTAATGGCAAAATAGAGATGTTGGATCTCAGTCTGAGGAGTGAACCATGTGTAGCTATAATGTGCAAGGAAAGTATGTGAATTAGACTTAGTTCCTTCCTTAGCTTATTCTTGTTCCAACCTGAAGTGATTTGTTGTTTATCCATTTTGGTTGGATGGTTGGTAGGTGAACAGCAGACCCAAACCTCCTCCCATTCCCCATTCTGTCTGTCCTTTGCATTTGATCTGGTAAGGACTGAACAGATAGGTGGCACTTTTTATTCCTGTGCATATCACCAGAGATCTAGGAGGGAAGAATAACTGATCGCAAAGTCACAGTCACAATCCAACCAATACAAATTAGGGGCCAGTGTGATAGCCTTGTACTGTATTAAGTATTTTAAATCACAGGGGTTACTTGCACAGTAAGACACTATTCAATTTGACCAAGGATGACAGAATTGGGCCCTCTATTTTTACAGAGTATAATAAGGAAGGTATCTTCTGCAGACAGAGTTAACTGGGGCTATCTGACTTAAAATATGAAATAAAGGACTAATATTCTTTTAAAACATTATAATAGCCCAAATATGGTTTTGGAATCTGCATGAAAAGAGAAAATAAGCAACACAATAAAAAGCCCTCAAGAACTTCATTTTGGAGCAGTGTTTTAAATTCTAACTGCCTCAAAGGGAATTCTCTACATGACTTGTGTCTAGGTCCTGAGCCTACAATTAACTTAAGTGCAAATCAGATGTACAAGATATACTGAGAAAATCCTGGTCCCAATCTTCCATTTCAAAATGTGCTTTTTTTCATCCCAGCAGAATTAACCTTAAACCAGAGAGCAATGCTCTTGGTGCTCACCTTGCCACCATGTGGTGAGCAGCCATGAGCCAAAAAGTGATAATAATGTATGTACATCAAAAGCACAATGTTCAGCACAAGCCAAGAACAGAACAGAGGGGGACTGTTTCTTAGATAGTAGAAACAAGTTAATGTAAGATGTGAAAGGCGAGGCAGCCACTTCCTTTTTCAGGATAGTCTTGTTATTTTATACTCCAAATGCCTAAGCACAATATATGGCATTGTACGAGCACTGTAACTCAAGCAATTAGCAAGGTAATGGTCTGTGGGGCTCATTAGAGCAGAACATCAGTTTAAACACTTGGCAGGAAGCTATGGAAAACCCATAACTTTAAAATGCTAAAAGCCAACAAACAGAACAGAAGAACAGTAGCATTTACACCGTCAGGTTGTTCCTCTGGGCTAGTAAACAGGACAGTACTGTGGTATCTGTATATTTGGTCCATTTATGTGAATGTAAAACAAGTTAACTAATAGTTGTAGGGTCTAGCTTCACCCACAGAAACTAAAAAAATGCATTATAACTTGATAATTTTCCTCTTAGTCATGCATTTATTATCATAAATGCTACTGTAATGTGAATAAACTGTCATCTATTTTTATTTTAATTCCCTAACGTCTCAAGTTAGATCCCTGACCACTTAATGCACTTATAAAAAGTAAATTTAGACTTATAATAAAAAGAATTAAAAATACTTGAGGTGAAATCCTAGTACCTCAAAGTACTAAACTAATGGACTAAACTTCCATTAACTCCGATATGGTCAGGATTTCATCCCTAGAGTTTTGGAAGGAATAGAAACCTCCATGCTATAGTTATGAACATGCTACATAATCTAACATCTTCTGCAGCTAGTTTTTTTATATCTTCCTACTGCACTGCTTGTTGTCCCTTCCTCTGGAACATCTGGTTTTGTCTACTGTCAGAGACAGGATCCTGGACTAGATGAACATTGGGTCTGATCTAATCAGGAATTCCTTTGTTCCAAAGGAACATCAGCAGTAGAGTATTTTATTTTGACTTTTATTTATTAACTTAACTTCCTTTAGGAGTCTGCCAGTGTGAAGTCAGGCAGTAGGTAGGGCAGAGTGGCAACTTAGGGCATTCATAAACATGCTATGGGAGGCCACTTTAATTAGTGAGCTGCGCTAATTAAAAGCACCTGAGCATCACATGTATCAGCATTCCCACACTGAAAAATGTCAGTGGGCATAAGCGACTGATAGCAAGGGCACGGGGGGGAGGGGAAGGGGGGGCACATGCCACCCCCTCCTCCAACAGGGCCATCCCTGCTGGCAGCAGTGGCGGCTTCTGCGGGTGCCCCCACAGACTCAAGAGGCACCAGTTGCCCATGTCAGTGGGGCATTTTGAACTAAAGCTCACTGAACAAGCTTTATTCTAAAGCACTCCACCGCCACTTTTCAGTGCAGGAAGACTGATACACATGATGCTGGATGCTGCTAGAGCGCATTAAATTTCCATGCTCCAGCAAAACTTGATTAAATCAAGTCTGCTCCAATGTGCTGCTTTTTACAGCACCTGGGAGCAGCCTTGCTGCACATCTATAGGAGCCCTTAAACACTAGCTCATTCAGAAAGGCATAAATTTCCCTAGGAGACAGCTTAATGCTATGAATATATTTGCAAAGAGTGGGGGTACTTAGTAGAAAGGATTAAAGTAATTTAAAAACAAAGAATACAGAAAGAATAGCACTACTTTAGTACTCCTGCTCTCTGCAAGTCTATTCACAGCACGATGCTGTAGTCTATCACCTATGAAAGCTTATGCCCTTTGTACATATGAGTTACTCGTTAAGGTACCACCCTCTTTAAAGTACATCCTTGCCTTCTACCTTTAAAGTAAAAAAATTAAATCACTTTTTTTTTAAATCAACAAGTTTTGTCAACTTCTGTAACTATTTCTAAAAATAAATGTACTAGAAATTTAAATAGCCTGATATTCTAACAAAACAGTATGTATATAATAAAACTGTTTCTTAATATAATAAATTGCCAAAACACTCAGAACTTATTGTGTTACAAACTAATGGTTATTTTTAAAAGCTAGACTATATATCCTTGAAAATAGGGGCTAATAATTAGACAGTCAGACTCTTCATTATAGTGAGCCAAGGTGTTACTAAAATAAAGACTTTAAGCTTTATAAACACACCATAATAAAATCAAAGGGTATTTTTTTCATTATATCAGATTTCTTGCCAATCTCTATAAAACAATTTACTCTAATTTGCTCACTTGAAATATATATATACACATTTCATAATAGATGCAGAATGAGAGCAATTATGCTTCACTGTGATGATATCTAGTTTAGTGGATCTACACTTAATTGGGTATAAATGTCCACTAAATGTTAGCATCTGTCCCACAACTCTGCTGTTATAGTGCAGCTGTGCTTTGTTTTCCTCCCTAAATAACAGTATCTAAATAATCTAGTCTACAACAAAGTTCATCTGCAACCAAGAGATCTTAAATAATGGGTAGATGATTGAGTTTTCTGTTGTTTGAATAACATTTTGAGTTTTTATTCTGAAGGGAGAAACGTAAAAGAGTTTCCTCATAATTACATATTCACTAAATGCATTAGTTTTTTCTTGAGGCAAATTATATTGATAGTACCTTGTAAACTCCATAATTTCATTGCAAAAGCCCAGCCCAAAGATAAAGCAAGCAATGTTTGTTATCTCCTACCTTATGAAAGTTCTCTTTATCAGGAATATTCGCCCTGGATGGCACATTGGAAAAGTTAATCTTATTCTCATGCAAGCAGTAATCTATTTTATTTCTTTAATTACTTTTATTGTAGCCAATGAGTGGATTTGCTGTGCAGAGAGGAAATGGGATTGGTGAATTCTCTTGAAAATAACCAGAATGACACTGAAATCTGAGGAAATGCAAATGCAGTCCACAAGCTAGGACTCTTCACCTGTTTTTTGCTGGCTTTTTGCCAGGTGCCTGCTATCAAGCTGAAAAGCATAAAAGATTCTCATTCCAGTGCAACCATTCTGGGTGATAGAAGATGCTCAA